CTCAAATGAGTTCCCCTTTTTTCTCTCTATACAGTTCCCTCCGTCTGCTGGCTTGAATAATAAACGCTTCCCTTCATAGCTGTAGTGAATCTCATTTGTAAGAACGGTCAAGGTAAGACTAGAGGAGAGGTGACCGCAGCCTTGGCTTGTGCTATCATCTCCTGTCTCGCCACTTCTATAGCTGTAATCTTTTAGTTGCTAGAGATATGCACATCCAAACACTCACCCACACACAAATATAGCAGACAGATGGTTGGATCTGGGCTTTGACAGAGGCTAAAGCACAGGGCACCTAGCGCTCTTCAAAGTCTCCTCCACTCTCCTCTCATCGTCGTTTCAAATGCCATATGTAGCCACGCACACTAATGTTCCTTAAAACAAGGACATGGCTCTTTTCAGCTTTGTTCAAGTCTCTTTAATTAGCAAATGGCACAAAGAGAGTGTTTTCATTTTGCCTTTGCGCTGCTATGAAAGGGAGTGGAGTCAGCGTGTACAGTTGGCAGCTATAAATGATCCTCCAAAATACATAAAGCAAAGGAGATTTAAGTGAATTACGCGTGGTTACTGCTGCATGGGAGATGATAAAGTAGGTCTGCACAATAGAATGGAAAAAAACTGAGAAATGCAATGAGAAAGAATGGCCAAAGCAAAGCATAATTATGTTTTGACATTAAAGATTCACTGCATAACATTTCTAGCGGAGGGTTCAGCACCTGCTTGTCTCCATGGAAATGTTATTGCTTTGTCTAGAATGTTCCACAGTATAGATTAAACCTATCATGAGGGATACAAGCAGGTTACAGCACTACACTACATTAATTTCAGATGTGTGGAGAATTGCCTCTATTCACTGAAGAAACTATTGTATTTTTGAGCAATAGGAACACCCAAAATTAAATATGGATATGTTTAATGTCATACCATGGAACATTCCAGACAAAGAAATAACACGCTCCATATATCCATGGAGATAAGCAGGTGCACCTTTAAATTAACAAAAGAAAAAATAAATAAATACAACTGGTGATGGATACATTGGGCATCAGCTGTGTATAGAAAACACACAAATAAAAACAATGATATTAAGGTGTGGTACTTTAAACTATTTTTTTTTAGACATTCTTGTATGAATGAGGTGTGTGAATGAAGATCAGATAGGGCATTGGGGGCACGTATCAGCAGCCTCACTTTTTTCCGTCTGCCCCAGGGCTTATCATAAGGAGGAAGTCATCTTTTGTGCATACCTAGCTTAAATATTTCTCTTATTTTACAAAGTTTTTGATTCAGCACTGCCAACAACAACTCTGCGATGCATTGTGTGAATCCCATATACCAGATGGTGTAATAGCCTGCAGTCAGTTCCCTCACCTTGCTAAGCTGACTTCTTCTCACTCGTGTTTGGCGAAATGATAGTGACTTTTAGTGCAAAAGAAAGAGGTGCTTTGTTCGGGGCAGGGGCACACCAGAATAGCTCCTAGTTTGCTTTCATCATCCTCCCTCCTAACATCCTCCACTCTGGCTTTGTCCTTTCCTTCTCTACTCCTCCACTCTTCTCTTTCCTTCACTTCAGACCCTACCCCCTCCCCATGTTATTAGTAAGGCAGCCAATGTGCCCGTCTGTGTGTGCTAGCTGCAGATAAGCGCAGGTAGGGAGAGTTACATAAGCCTGCGTTGATTACTGTGGAGGAGAGGCACTGGCAGAGGGGCGAGCGAGCCGGAGACGAGGGACAGGAGTGAGGGAGACAGATTGCTGTACCTTACTAAGTACAATGTGCTCTAATGCTGGCTGTTTGGCTGGCTGGTGCTTGATAAGTAACCCTGGCTTCTGGGGCGGCAGCAGAGGACAGTCATTAAGTTGGAATGACAGCTCGCCTTGTAAATGGCATCCTGTTTTTTGTTTTCATGTTGAACGAATAAAATATGCTCTTGTCAGGTCTGCTTCATTAATATGGCCGATATTGGCATCATACGGAGCTTTCATTATTTTTTTCAGCATGTGGTTGTTTGCATAAATTAGGAGCGTGGAACAGTCTAGGAAAGGTGCCATGTATTAATTGTTTTTATGATGTGTCAAAAAATTCATTTAACTAATAATTGAAGACCGCTGAGCACCGTGTTCAATAGACTCCAATGCTGTAAATTATTTCTTCAGGGCCCTAGCTTCTTGAAATATTCAGAGAATTTAATATATGATTAATTTTTTTATTTTTTACTACACATTTATTGAAGTTTTAAACCCAACACCAAATTGCTAAAACACTTAAAGCTTCAGCAAAAAAACAGACTATACTAAAAGCATGTTGGTTTTTGTTTTTATTTTTTGCACTGAAAACTCTAGAATTACATGTGTCTTTACTGTGAGCAGGCTTGCATCTCCACAGACCAGACTTGTGGCCTGGGGTGGATCTCCATCTGCTTGTCTCAATGGAAATATTTTGGCTATAATATTCCATGGTCATAGATAGACTGATATTAAGATATTTATTTCCAAGAATGGTCAAAATTTGTTGTAACTTTCTATTCCAATAGAATTATGCAGGTACTATTCCATTTCCAGAAAGTTACATGATGTTGCTTTAGGTACATTCAATAATTCTTTAACTATTTTTTTAGCAATAATGACATTATTTAGCATCAATCAGAATTTTCACCTTTTTATTTCTTTGCTATCATAAGCGGATAAAGGGTTAAAAGGTCTGTCTTCTTAGTGTTGTCTCCACTCACCCTGAGGCACAAATGATGATTGTTTATCGTCAAACAGCGCAGGAGGTGATGGGGTCAACCATCACCTCAGCCCTCTTATCTACTTACTCTATGACTCCACAAAGCTAAGGGCGCCTGATCCAACTGCCGAGCTGATACATCTCTGTCTCGAATGCCTTTCACTCAGGAGCACTCTGGTCACGGCCATCTCTACTGCTCTTTCACACCTCTTTCTCAACAGTCTGCCTCTCCAAAGCTCCGTTATGTGCATGCTCCAGCCTGCATCTGTATGCCAAGCACCCATCCAGGGGCCCTCCAGCCAGATACCAGCTTAGGAGACGCTCAAGGCCAAACAAGTGTGTGGATTAAAGGACGAATACATCCCTCTCCCTTTCCTTTATGTTGTCTCCATGGAGGAAGTGAACAGACAACTCTCCCACCCTTAACCTACTGTTGAGGTGCCATTTAGCAAGGCTCTTGAGTTTGAAGAGCAATACCGCCAAGGCTCTTGAAGTCATTACTAATTAGCAAGGCAGTTATAGGTGCAAAAAAAAAAGAAAAGTGTGCAGTATAAGTCCGCCATAGTTCACCCTTGTTTTCCACCTATAACTGTTCATGCGTTACAATTGCAGTAACAAATTACACTTGCTGCTGTGTGTTGCATAGAACCCAGCTGTATTATTTTGATTTTTTCGTGTGAGAAGCTAATTAGACTGTACAGTAACAGTGATGGCGTGAGGCGAAGCGAGAGGTGGGATTGGGAAAAGCAAAGCAGAAAGGTAAAAATGGGACTAAAACAGAGCCATTTACTTTGAATAGCAGTTAATGAGAAGCTCCAGCAGCCACAGACACATGCTGCTGCTCTGCTGTGTGCACCGCAGAGGCGCGTGTAGACTACTGAAAGTGATTAAACCAACTATAATCATTTTGGATTGGTCTTTTTGTAGTGTGTTTAACTTTTTACGTTAAGTCATTCAGAAATATCAGCGTTTTGTGTAGTAATGGTAAATGTACAGCTGTACCCGTCCCAAAGTTGTTGTTTTATATTGTAGCACATTGGTGTCCTACAATACAAGTTCACTGAGCCCATCAACTGAAAAATCCCCCCAAAATCTGTATATATTTATTTCTTCTTAATTATCTCCGACCAATAGATTCCCAAATTTTTTGTTGGCCATGCCTGCATTTTTTGCCAGAATCATTTGCTTTCAAAGAATTAGTTCACACTGGTGCTTAGGCAGAATGTAAAACTCCTGATCCTGCTCATTTTCCAGAGTAAAAAGAAAAGAGCAGTGAGAAGTGGTCAAGGTGCTTTTTAAAATCAAAATTCAGGAAGTGCACGCATCATGAGACAAGCCAGCAGCAAGAGTGAAAAAGAGATGGAGAGAGCCCTGGCATGTACAAAAATGTGGAATAACAATAAGGAGAGCTTTTTATGTGTGAGGAAGACTGCACAGAATGATGCTCACACAAAATTCCCTTTTTTTTCTCCATGGCTTCTTTTCTTCAGTGCAGCGCACAGAGATGCCTGTGTGCACACAGTATTATGTAAATAGTCTCTTCACCAGAGTGCCGCTGTCACCGAGCGAGCATCCTCTGGGCTATCGAGGCAGCCTCATTAAAACAAGGCACCACATCCATTAATAGATAACACACACACATACATACACATACACACATACACGTATACAGTCAGCTACATGCAGCGCACTCACTCCAATAAAAGACCTCCCAGGAAGAGTGTCTTTAAATGCTTCTCTCAGGTGGCAGTCAAAAAATATCACCAAGAAAACCACTCAAATGTCAGTGTTCAGCATGCATGAAGAGAAAGGACTGGTCTGCTTCAGAAACAGACAATTCAAGCCTGCTACTGTAGAGACTTTGGGGCTGTGTGTGGCTCTGCATCATTATCATAGTCTGTCATAGTCATAGACTGTAAAGGGGAGTTAAAAGTTTGATGCTAGTTTATCATTCATCTAGATGCCCATGTGAAAGAGACTACTATTTCACTCTATTTCACAGGTGCAGCACTTTGTAAAAAGCTCTGTTTGTAAACTGTGCTATAACAGAGTGGCCTGAATATATATAACTTTGTCAAGGCCTTCACCACCTCTATTCTGATGTTATCTGTGATATACCTTCCATCACAATCTTAACTCATTTGTTGAGGATGTTTTTAAGCCCACAGTTATACCTGTCATGTCATTCAACAGTCTTCATAATGCCTGCGTCTGTGTTGTGATTCAACCCCGTAAAGTAAAGGGAGCTTGTTTGTTTGTGATGTGCTGGCCCCTCAGGTGGTTCCCGAGGTGTGGGCTTCATTCGCTTTGACAAGAGGATAGAAGCAGAGGAGGCCATCAAGGGTCTGAACGGACAGAAGCCGTCCGGAGCTGCCGAGCCCATCACTGTCAAGTTCGCCAATAACCCAAGCCAGAAGACCAGCCAGGCTCTTCTGTCACAGCTGTACCAGTCCCCAAACCGCAGATACCCAGGCCCCCTGCACCACCAGGCCCAGCGCTTCAGGTCAGTGTCTTGCAGACACCACTACATGGGAGGGAACAACTGTGACCAAAATGTTTTATTTGTGTATTTGAATATATTCCCACCCTTTTAGGAGAAAATCTTGTTTTTTGAACTTGTAAAATGATTGCACCACAATTGACTTTTAAATGTTGTTTGCCAGAAATGCCACTGAATCACAGACCTTTCAGCCAAGTGCACATGATTCTAGAGAAAATATGACGCAACAAAGTGAAACAAGTGTAAAAGACTATATTAGTCAATATTACACTGACAAAAATAAATCTACCATAGAAATGTATATATCACATATATCCAGAACTTAAACCAATGAGTTAAAAGGTTGGGAATTGTCTTATTATTAGCTTTTATGTTCCTTTCTCTGTACTATGCATTCATTGAGGTGGTAGAATGTCCCCTACAGAAAACAGGTGCTTTGCTGCACCTGGCACAGGTGTGCGTCATACTCAAGCCCAGCCCTCATCAAACAGGAAGTGTTCAGAAGAGACTGTGGGGTTCTGTTCTTCACTGTGTTACATTTCACTCCATTTCATCATGCTCATAGTGGCTCCATTCTCTGATGACTCGAGCAAAAACATGCATTTATACGTCTACAGAATAATATTAGGCAAACAAGCTTCATGTCTTCACAAAAGGGCTGTTGTTAAATTGTCAATTTGTAAATTATCAAACCAAGTTTATTATTATTACTGTGTACATTTTGCACTATGGTCAATTATTTAAGACATTAAATATTTTTAAAGTTTTAAAGTTAGTTTATGCTGCATTATTGCATATATCTTCCTGTCCTCTCAGAGTTGTGCATGCACCTTTCTCTCTCTCCTTCAGGAGGAGTAAGCTCATCATGCTGTTTACTCTCAATCAAAGTCAAAGCTTAGAAAGTATTTTTCCTTGTGGAGCAGCCTCCCTGGTGTGACACCGCTGTAGCATGGCTGTGTGTCTGTGATACGCCAAGCCAATTTACAGGCTCTGCAGGAGCGCTGTCGCTTCTCATCACAGCTCACATCCATAGGACACTTCCTCAGTGTTCCCCTGCTCCCAGGATGCCCTGCTTAAACCTGCACTCACTTTTGGAAGTCACAGATGTGCCTGATGCACCCGCTTCCTTCTGTAACTGTCCAGAAGCAAGTTCACAGTGGAGCAGAGGACACTCACACATCTGATATGTCCTCTCAACAATGTCATATATAGGGCAGGTTTTTAAGGCTGCACAAGAAACACATTTGTATCAACATTCAAATAGAGAGAATAAAATCCTCCTACAGTTCTAATTATACCCATCCTGTGTGACTTAATCATGTGGGCCTGCTGTAACTCTAATTAATGTATAATGTGCTTGTACGGTCCCTCTCCAAGACAGCAAACATAATCGACACCAATAATACACCAAGCCCTAGATACCCACTCGTTTCCGATTCTCTGCTGTTAACTAATGATACTAATTAGCAAATTAGCCTTATTATATCCAGGGCAAGGGCCAATTTTAATTGAAGTCATTTTTGTCAAAAAAAGAAGACAAAAGCCTCCATTCCTACATTGTGTAATATGAAGGTACAAAAGCCCTATTGTTTGTGTGGAGCTTGGAGAGGCGGTGTGGAGAGCTGGCAGGTGAGCGTGCATCAGAGCCTCAGTGTGCCTCAGTGTGCCTCAGTGTGCCTCAGTGGGAATGGGTACATGAGAGGGGCCAATGGGACAGGAGCACAGCAGCAGGTTGTTTTGTTGTAGCCCCTGGGCCCGGCAGCCAGCAGATATCTTTCCAATTGACTCATTTACCTACAGATCTGCAGCTTGTTCTGCTCCTTCCACTGTCATGGACTAATTAAAGCACCAGTAGCCCTCTAATCATAATGTTTAGACATGTGTGTCCATCGACTCATACTATAACCATGAACAGGCAAACCAGGTTACTCACTAGGTGCAAGCTAATGATTTTGAATGTTGTGTAGCACTATTATGGACTTAGGTACATCTTACTATTTGCCTTTAAAACTTAATGTAAAAACACAACAAACACCACCAAGAATGTTATCCTGTAAGTCACCTCCAAATCTGTAGGATTCTCAAAATGAATGGCACGTCAGTAGCCAGCTGTTGGCTCAGTTAGCTGTGGCCCTGGTCCATTAAGCCAGAGAAGTTAATAAGACATAAGACAGGCCAGACCCGCGTGAGTAATGAAGGTCATTGAGTCACTGAGCCCACTGCGTCCGCACAAGAAGGCCAATCTTTCAAACTGCCCACATAAACTATCCTAAAAACATGCAGTATTGCTCTAGCTAAACGTGGAAATGTATTGAGTCTGGTTTATTTGCTTGGATGTAGAGTGTCAGACATTTCACTAAATATGCCTGCTTCAGACCCAGATTCATAGTGGCTTGCTAAATGTTGTACTTAGTTTAATTGTTGAGTTGGGTTGCCTCATCAACATACCAGTCCCCATCCTGTGTCTTACTCACTCACCATTATTCAAATACCAGCCATTACACTGACAGAACTCTGACGAAGGGCATTTCCCTCTTCTCCGTCATCTCAGATGTTCTCAATTTGTTAATTACTTAATTGAGTTAACAAATTACTAAGCACTACGTGTCTCCCTTTAACCTTTTATTGTTTATCACATTATCTCTGTGGTGACCGTATACCAGTGTAGTGTGTTATGGCTGTATTTAAACAGAAGATTTGTGCAGACATAAATTATATTATGGCTAGTATACTGTCTGACTAAGAATCAAGAGTAGCATTGGAAATAACGAGCGAGTGAGGCACTGCAATTCAAGTGTGCCTTGATGATTTTCCTGCAATATAACTGAGCTAGAACAATATCGATGAATAGTTTGGGAAATCTGACCGTAGTGACTGTGTGGTGCACGACACAGTGCCAACTACAATGAAGATAATTTTCAGTAATGGGCCAGTTATGTGTGTTTGTTTGCTGTGGAGTGAGGAAGACCATGTAGTTCCTAAAGGGACTAAAACATTAGTTCCATTGAGTGACGCGAACCATCTGCCCACCATTAACCCCAGAACCCTCCTTCTCTTTACAGGCTGGACAATTTGCTTAATATGGCCTATGGCGTAAAGAGGTAATTAAAACTTCACCCAATGCCAGATGTCCATGTTGACTCAATGATTTTTCAATATTGTTTTCTTTGGTTGTGGTTATTATTTAGTTTGTGTTGCCTTGTATTTTTGCAGTCTCTTGTTTGATTTGTTTGGTTTTGCCTCTTCAGCTTGAGTTGGTTTCTGACTCATTTTAGGTATAAAAAGAGAACATAATCTCTTTATTTTCACTGGTGATGAATTTGCTTTGTTTTGATTATAGTGGTGGTGTTGTGTGTTCGGAACAACTTCTTGGTTGTAGTTCTTATTTTGAGGTGTATTTATCTGGATTTAGGGTCTCCGGCCTTGTCACATTTAACCAATTTGAGAAAACCTATTTTAAATATGTCAGACTTATAACACAATACAAGTTCAGTTAAGGTTTGAGATGTATGCAAGCAGATATTTGAGACATAATCAACATTACTGACATAATATTATCAAAATGACAAATTCCCCTAAATGTGTTGGCAGCAGCCGCTTCAAAGCCGTGGCATTTGGCTGGGACATTGACAAGGCTGGATGATCCTGAATCCTGCTGGAAACAGGAAACTGTTTCACTGCAGACAGCTCCAGCTTTGCTCGGCACTGCTCTGCTCCAGCTCCTCCCGCTCACCTCCATGTTTCATTTTGCTTTGGGCTGCCATAGGTGTTACATAAGCCCTAGTAGACAGTCTGCAGACAGAAACTTCATATACTGACAGTGTGAAAGGGCATGTTACAAGCACAAGGGTCACTCAGTTCCTTCTTAACACCCTAAACAAGCAACTTCTGGTGTTGTCTTTGTCATACGCTTGAACATTGCTCATCATTGTGTGAGTTTCTTCAACAGTGTTTTCGGAGCACTTTTTATTGCCTATCACCTTATTAATTTCCTGTTTCCTGGGTTATTATAGACAGAAACAAAAGGTGTAAAAGCTGAAAATGGTTGGGTTTTGAAAGGAAGAATAGCTATCTGGTCAGCCACACTGTTGCTATGCAACCTCAGGGCCTGTGTGTAACATTGGTTAGTGTCCGGACCCTCTCTGATGGGTACAGCCACATGCATTTACCCAGTGCTCGCACTCGCATATAGAGACAATCATCCTCACAGTATTGCTAACCTCCAAAGCGCCCCTGCGTACTCGCATGCCCCCCACTCTCTGCTCGTGCATACCAATGTACCCAGCGGGGTCCACCATACACAGTTGAGCATGTCAGACAGGTCCTGATATGATGAGGCAAGAAAGACTCCCACACGATAAAGAAAATATTTTATTCATCTTACTATGTTGCAAAACAGGTTGCCACAGACAATGAACCAAAGATAACCTCAAACTATTTATTTGCAAACAGTCTGCAGTGGACCCAGAAAATGCCACCAGATGTGCTTTTATTATGCCTGCATTAAATTGTGTTTAGACCCACAGGAAATACAGTCATTTTTTGTGACTTAACTCATGATAAAGCTCCCCACACGTTGAAATTGAAAGCCCTTGAAGCCAATGTCACCAGGCCTGTTCTTGTCTAATAGTCCTGGTACCACACAAAGCCAGCAGCAGCCTGTGCATGACCAAAGTCACACAGGAAGGTCGTAGTGACTGCTGGCCATATATAGTCATTGGAGGAAAGGGGAGGGCGGGGCCTGAGCAGTGAGCAGTGCTATTGATCGGTGCCACGAGTAGAAAACAGAAAAGGCTGCAGACTGCACGAGGAGTGGGAGGAATACACTTTGTACCTTAATGCCACTGGGCTGTAAAGTGCTTCCATTTTCCTTTTAGCTCGTTCTCTGTGCCCTTCACCTCCTTCCCTTATGAAAGCTGCACTCTTCCAGACAACTGCAGCAAAGCGGAAATCTCAATTAAAACACAGCCAATAATGCCCTTATTTGTTTCTTGGTGAGATGTGGCATAAGAAATGAACCTTTTTATCTCATTTACCTTTTTATTTAAAAGTGGGGGATATTTTCCACTTTTCTCAGTCGCTTTGAGCAGAAAAGCAATTAAAGGAAGTCAACTGAGGACCAAAATCTCATCTGAAGAAAAGCAGCAGATTATGAAGTGAATGAGAGCAGATTTAGCAGGATGGTGCATGATCTCTGATGATTTCTTCCACCAACTGCTTAATTCATCAGTTTCCTGCAATTTAGCCCTTAAAAGAGCCACTCAAGGACACACAAAAAAGACAAAAAAGTGCCGTCTCCATCTCCTTGAGCAGAAACACAGCTCAGCACATTGTCGTCAGTCGCAACAGGAGGCCTTTGAGGAGTGAGGGGATCAGGCAGGATTTGAGAGCTCACATAGGCACATATACACTGGGCTGCATCTCCAGCATACATGCACTGAGCAAACAGCTGTGCATGCCTTCTAACTCATTTATTATTTGCTTTGGAGATCAGTGTCTGTGCTTGGACTACTAAATGCAAATAGTTTAAATCAGGCCTTTAGGCGAGGCATTTGAGATGCAGACAAAGCTACTGCAGCCAGCAGCTAACAACTGAAGGTACAGTCCTACATCAACAAAGTAGAATATGACTGAAGTTAAACAAACTCTCTTCATGTATGCATTCACTTTTATTTAGTACATCTACAGTATATTGTAAAAACAGATGCACAATGTGCCATATTTTCATTGGCGCTTTAATTTTTCTTTATACAGTATGGCATGTACCAGTAATTTGCTAAAACAATTTATTTTTGCTTCTAGCATGTCCCCTTTTTATATCAGATGAACTTCCTAATACATATCCTCCATTTATTTGGTCATTCGGGCTTGGGACTGACACCAAAAATACAGTTTAATAAAAAATGTTCTAGTATAGTAAAGTATTCTATAGTTTGATGTAGGACTGTGGGTAGGTTACTTGGTGGTTGTAGCCTTTGTTTTACATGTCTGATGGACCATATTGTCTTATTTCTCTTCTCTCACAGGTTCTCCCCCATCACTATCGACAGCATGACCAGCCTGGTGGGCATGAACATCCCAGGCCACACAGGGACGGGCTGGTGCATCTTTGTCTACAACCTGTCCCCAGACTCAGACGAGAGTGTCCTGTGGCAGCTCTTCGGCCCATTCGGCGCTGTCAACAATGTCAAAGTGATCCGTGACTTCAACACCAACAAGTGCAAAGGCTTCGGCTTCGTAACCATGACGAATTATGACGAGGCGGCCATGGCCATCGCCAGTCTCAACGGCTACAGGTTGGGTGACCGCGTCTTGCAAGTCTCCTTCAAGACTAACAAGACACACAAGTCCTGAACTCTGAGCGGAGCGAGCAGTGACCCCACCACCAGGGGTCAAAATTGCCCCTCGACCTCCACCCTTCCCTTAGGCCCTTCCACGACCACACTATAACAGCCATCCAACAGCTAACTCCAACGGGAACAACACAACCAACAAACCAACCAATTGAACTCTACTTCTATGGCTTATACTATAACTTTGGACCTATAAGCCAATGTTGCCTAAGTATTACAAAAATGATGAAAATGTTCATAAGTTTTTGGAAGCTCCTGTTATAACGCAGGCTTCTCTTTGTTGTATATTCTGTTCGTTGTGGTTGTTCTTGATGATTTCTCTTCAGTGTAAACAGTAGCAAACCCCCATTCCCTAATTTCAGAGAAGAGAATGTCCTTTTTAGATTGAAACCTTTTCTCTGTCCTGATTCAGGATGTGTTTTTCTTTTGTAACTCCGGATCCACTGTCGTTAGTACTCTGACCTCCCTGACGGTGAGCGGGAGGGGGCTCTTTTATAAATTAGTGAACCATCTCTCATTTTTATTGTGTATTGAAACTTCCCCTTACCGAGGACGGGACAGTGCCATCCCGCTTACTCTAATGTAGAAAAATAAATTTATAACATGTCTTTGTTTTGTATCGCAAACAAAACATAGTCTTTCCTCACGGGTTCAGGGAGATGGGGCGCGGGGGGATGGGTTAGCTTTCCTGATGACACGTTCAGTAATTTAAGAAGAATATAACACTGTTGCCAAAGAGAAGATCTCTTTGCTTGGAAAAAAAAACGTGTTTAGAAAAAAGATAAAAATAAAGAGAAATAAGATCTATTTTTATAAATGATAATTAAAAGAATAATATTGAAGAATTTTTACAAGAATCTGGATTTGAAAAAGAGAAAAATATTTTGACTGGCTAACTATGGGGGGCTGGGCGGGAGGGGGCGGGCGGGGGACACCACCTTGTCTTGTCGTTCTGCTATGGTACTTTATAGGACAAACGCTCAGTTCGTTTTTTGGGGACTCAAAGATGGCAGTGATTTTTTAGACGGAAGGTTTTGTGAAAAGGGGAGGTGAACCAGAGGCAGGTGATTTTGGTATTTTTCATGTACTAGTGCGTAATTATTCAACAGCGACACCCAAAAGGGAAGGGAGAGGGGTCTTATACAGAGGCCTAACCATCCTATAGTCCAGAGCCCAAAGCAAGAAGACTTTGTCCACTTGTTTTCCTGTTTGTCATCAGTCGGTAGAGAATCTCAGTAAATACATTTAGATGTTTCTCATTGGGAAGGCATATTATACACACATTTGTTTTCTGGTTTCTGTGTTTAAAAGTTACATTTGAAAAGAAACTTCCTTTTAGCGATCAATGGTAGGTGCTATACTACATTATTCACATATCTTAGATATCCAACTTTGTTGTTCTATGTGTTGTTTAAAGAAAAAATACTTCAATGTTGGCATTGAATTGAGCTGCTGTTCTTTGTTGAGTATTCATTTTATTGTGGGCCCAAATCTGGTGAGACCATATCTTTGCTAAGAACCAGATGATTGCGCAGGGCCGTGTAGAATCACTGAACTATACTTTGAGTTTTTCTGTTTGGCTTGCTGACATTTTGGTTTGTTGCTAAGCGTGAAACGTTTGTCTAAACTTCTTGATGATTAGCTAGTTCTGTTAGTCTAGATATTTGTTTCCTTAAAGGATCTATGACAACTGTGTCTTTCTTTGCTGTGTACAAATAGATGATATATATAAATATATATAGTCTACATTTGTTTTACAATATCTACTATCTGAGTTGTCACTGTTCTTTCCTTTGAGCTTGTCTTTTTCATATGACAACTTATTATGAAGTGGTGGTTCAGTTACTTAGAAAAACTTGTGAGGAACTGTTCAATTGTTGTCATGTTGCTTGTGGAGAAAAAAAAGTTTTGGATCGACTTTTGAGTTTACTTCCGCGGCAAAAGAAACAAAAGCTTCAACTATAACTGTACTTGTTGATTTCGGATTAAAAAATATTTATTTTTCTATTTATTTGTATTTATTCTCTATTTATGACTTGATTAATTTATGTGTGTATATTTATGTATTTATTTGGTTCATTGTCTGTGTATTGCGTATTCTGGTACAGGGAGGGGGGCGTTTCTGAGCAAAAGGGAACAAAGCGACTAGTGGAGAGGCTCTTCCAGTAGTCCACTGCACTGAGAGAACTTTTAGTACGTTTGTGCTTTGTACCAATATATCAAAATGACCATATAAAAAATCTAAAAGTCAAGAAAACTGAAAAAAATGTCTGGAGGGTTGGGGGACGCTCTTCCCTTATTATTAGAAACAGTTACTCGCTATGCATAACCTAGTTAATAGTTCAATTTGCTATTGCTTTTTTCTTGTCTTGTTAAAATGATATCTTAAGATCTTTTTTCAATAAAGTTTAGTCTTAATAGAATGTTATACAGTTGTTCTGGTTCAATATAACCTGTGATAAGTTTGTGTAGTTCAAAAAGCCACTTCGTCCACACCCTCCCTCCACTTACTACCGCTTTGTGATGAAACCTTATGCAAAAATGTGGGTCTGAAAGCATTCTTTTTCAGTTTTCTATCTTTTCATTGAGCTCTGTTGAACACTTTATAGGAGCTAAAGCCCATTGTGATATGAGGGTCATTCATTGCACTGGACTAAGGTCGATCAAAGCATATTTTTGAAAAATGTCGTCATCATGTTTTCAAATGACCTACCAACAAATATTTAAATTGTACCATTGCACACCAACTGTTCTTTACAGCAGTTGCTGCTCAAATATAGAAGGTATGAAAAAGAATTGTACCAATTCTATATTTTATATACTCTAATATGATATATATTATATATTTTGAATGGTATAGGTAATGGAATGGTTCCAGGAGTTAATACAGAATTGGTTTGTTGTTAAGACTTGAAAACATGAGGAGGTGTGCAGAGCATCTGGAACACTTCCACTCTCACCTCAGTCATGTGACACTTTAACCATAGACTCATCTGTACCAGATCTGAATCCATCACCACAAACCAGACCCCTTCATGCCCCGCTGTCGCCGGGAGCTGAATTATGCAACGACCCCAGTAGAATGTTCTTTGTTGTGGGTGTTTCCTCCACTGTATGACCTCTGACCTCTTGTGCGTGCCTGTTGTGTGCTCCATACAATCACATATACTGTGTACACAGGTGGTATATGTGCGTCTCTTCCACATGTGTGACTGTGTTTCTGGGCGTCTGAACTCGGGGCTGTGTCACCTGACTCTAGGCCGCCCCCTATGGCTCACATCTCCCTGTAGCGCCTTATAGTGGCAGTGTGCCAGTAAGAACAAGCAGCCTGTAGTGGAGGAGGGAAGGTGAACAGAGGAACTCGGCTCCTTTATCCTTATTGTCAGTTTTCAGTTTATCCTCCTGAGATGTGTTTGTTTACTATCTGAAAAATCTATAAACAAAGCGTTAAAAACAAAAAAGAGATTTAAAAAAAGTTGTCGGGCTTCTAGACCACAGCTCGCTCTATCTCTCCTGCTTATGTTATTACTTAAGAATTATCGATGATGATGATTATTATTATTATTGCTATTATTCTTAGTATTCTTATTCTTCTTATTATTATATCCAATTACTGCGATGAATGACTTCATGTTATCCTTGCTAGTTTAGGTCATTTCTGAAACTGGAAACAAAAATAAAAATCTTGCTGTAAATGTTTGTTTTTTCTTTTTCATAAAACTGTTGTGTTTGAATTATTTGTACTTTTGAATGTTGGGACAATAAAATGAGGTGTTAAGAGCTTGGATGTTTCTTGTGTTCCTTTAAATTTTGACAAAAGCTTTGATATTAGTTTTATACAAGCAAAATTTAGAGTAAGTTTTTATTTTAAATGTTCTTCACATAAACGGATACAAGCTGAAGAGGTTTGCACATGTGAAAGTCTTCAAGGAGTCTACCACTTGATTAACATAATGAAGGAGGTGCAGTAGTAATATCACACCGCTGAATGTCTGTAGAGCCATTATTTGCACAGCACTAGTGCAACAGTAAGTCACCACTGTAACATTGACCTTTCAGAAGCCTACACAGAAAGCAGACAGAGACGAGTTCTTCTAATGTCTGTACAAAAACACTTGTACAATAGTACATCAAACTGTTTTACTAAGGGGAAGACAAACAGTATCACAGTTTTCTTAGACCCAGATCACATCTTTATTTTATTTTTCTATCACGATTCATGTTAACTCTAAAATTTATTTAAAGGGCTATCTAAAGTCACCTGCTTCTTCTGAAAGTTCACATTTCATTCCCCCTGTCACTCAAAAGATTCCTGAGGCCAGTAGGAGGTGAGGGAAAAGGTCTCGTGTAACATAGAGCTGCATTCAAGAGAAGTTTTACCAGAAAAGTACAGCATCAATGAGATCACAATCAAATTTTATTTTTATCACCTATTGGCCAGCCCAGTTCTCAAAAGTATTCTAAATTAAACAAAACACAGTGAAAATTGACAAATGCAGTAAGCAGCTTATCATAGTGAATGAGGTTTCACCCTGCAAATCTGTACCATACAAACTTAATACCCACATGTGTAGTGATAACATAAACAGTAACATATTGTGGTATTTGTTGAGCTAATTTTGAAGTTGCCCTAAAATGCTCAAAAAAAGTCAGACTATGTGGAAGGCGGTCTTGTGAAAGGAGTTGTTGGGCTGACTGTGCTCACACCTTATGTGTCACCAGGTGTAAACATATGATTGTTCCTCTCACTTTCTATATAAACCACTTCTCGACGGTCTGGTGAGAGCTGATCACACCCGCCACTCCGTGTGAATATCGGTTTCCTGCTGCGCCGCCACCAAGACTGAAGCTCTGCCAAATACAAGCACCAGGCTCAGTCACAAATACAGGAACATTTCAGAGGAAAAGTGTCCTCTTCGTCAGCTTAAAGATCACATATCATGCTTTCAACTGTGTAGCATTAAAGCAGTACATACGTAGTTCACCATTATACATTTTTTTAATAAGCTCTGTGGACAGCTAGCTGGCTCACTTCATCTCAATGCATTTGCTTACTTTTTAGCATGTTGTTAGAGATGTCAACCTGCAGCTCCCTGCTCATTG